GGAAGCGCCGCTGCCACTGCCGCGGGCCGCCCCCGCCGCGCCGGCCTGGGCTCAAGCTGCCAGCGCCGCCGCAGCCGCCACCGGAGCGGGAGCGGGAGCCCGACCGTGCTGGGCTGGGCTGGGCTGGGCTGGGGCGGGCGCAGGGCGCAGGGGCGGGCGCGCGGGGGAAGACGCACGGGCGGGCTCGGCTCTCCCGGGGAGCGGCCCGGGACTGCACCCGGACCAGCGCCTCCCCGCTCCGCGCTGCCCTCGGCCTCGCCCCGGGCCCGGGCGGATGAGCCGCGCGCCCGGGGGACATGGAAGCGCTGACGCTGTGGCTTCTCCCCTGGATATGCCAGTGCGTGTCGGTGCGGGCCGACTCCATCATCCACATCGGTGAGCGCGGCGGGCGGCCGGGCTTGGGCTGGGCGGGGGGCCCCAACGGCGCAGGGGGTGCGCGGCGTCCAAACTTGGCGGTTCCGGGGGCCGAGGGGCTCCGCGGGCGGTGCTCCCCCGAAGGGCCGCGCCGCGCCGCCCCGCGGAGGAGCTGTGCACGGGCCGCGCCGCGTTCCCGTGGGCTGCTCGCGGCTCCCCGGGGCTCTGATCTCCGCGCGGAGCCCCGCGGCCTCTGCCGACACTTAGGGCCGCGGCTTCGGGGAGCGCCGGGATGGACGCGCGTCGAAACCCGCGCCGCTAGCCGGGCCGTCGGCGGGCTCTGGAGGGCCCTTCGGCGCATCTCAGAGCAGCGGGGGGCCGGCGGCGGGCACGGCCCGGGGGTTCGCTAAGTTGGCAGGGCACGATCAAAGAGGCCGGACTGGAACAGTGTGTGAATATGGGTGGGTGGGTGTTGTCAGCGTGTGTCGCTGTGTGTGCGCCTGGCACACTGTTGGTGTTACTGCGAGAGGGCGTTGGGGTGTGTGGGGCCATCGGAGCGTGTGTTGGTGCGTGCACGACTGTCAGCCTGTTAGAGTGGACACAGCGTCTGCCTGTTTCCCCAGTGTGTGTCTGTGTAGCTCTCGGTGTGTGTGTGGGTGTGTGTGTACCTGGTTGTGGCGACTGCAGCCCAATCCTGGACAGTCCCAGAGTTTTGCGTGTTCCAAGTCTTGGGGCCAGCAGACGGTCTGGGTGGTGGGAGCTGAGGGAGGAAGCGTGGGTAGCGGGGGTGAGGGGACGCTGAGCGGGAAGAGATGGATAGAGGGAGAGAACCGGGAGAGAAGATGGGAGAGCAGAGGAGGAGGGGCCGCGCGGAGGGGGAGCGGGTGGGAGTTGGGAGCAGCATGGGAGGAATCTCGGGAAGTTGGGCCGTGTTGGGGGGCTGACAGCCGTCGCTTTGGGGGAGCCCCTCCGCAGTCGCCTTTCCGGAAGTTGGGAAAGACCAGCGAGCACGGAGAAACTGGGGGTTGGGAGGTGTGAGCAGGCGGGGAGGAAGGGACAGGCGCGGTGGGGAGTGGAGTCGGGTGGTGAGGGACAAGGCCCAGGCTCCGAGAGCGCAACGAGCCCCGCAGGGCCCCGGGGCCAAACCTACTTCCCGCCCTGGAGAGGGCGCGAGTCTCGCGGTCAGCATTGCGGCTCCGGATGTAGCGAGGAACCGGGGCCTCCCTCCTCCTACCCAGTCCCCAGCTCGGGGGATCACTGGGCTTAGCCCTGGGATCTCGGGGACCTTCAGGGCCTGGTGAGGCGAGGTGGGGGTGGGGACTCCAGAGCTGCCCTGGTCGCGGGACCAGGCGCAGGTGAGCCCGACGGATCTCGGATGGAAGCGCGGGGGTTGGCCAGAGGGCGCCCTGGAGGAGCTGTCCGCTGTTCATGAAGACCCTTTAAAGAGCAGCTCCTTCTGGGACCCTAAGCCCTGCTAGAGCTGAACGTGGAGGGGTCTAGCAGACAGTCCTTTCCTCCCACTCATTTCGACATACACCCAGGAAGAGGGAGTGGGGAGGCTCGGAGAGTAGGAGGCTGAGCCCAGGACGCCAGGCTAGGCAGTGTCGCAGCCATCCAAGCTGCAGGCCATCCCAGGCCCCTGCCTGAGGAAGCAAGCCCCTTCTGCGCAGGGAAGCCAACTGTAGACCTGCTTCGCTCAGCTGCACTCAGCAGGGGACGTGCACGGCAGAAAAGAGTCATTATTCCACGCTGGGATTGGGGTGAGGGACGCTGCCCTCCCAAGGGACTTTCTGGCCCCTGGGACGGGACTTATGGGACCCTGTCAGGGAATTGGGTGCTGCCTGAGGCTACCTCAGCTTGGCTTAGTCCCTTGTGTGGGGCAGGGCTGGGACATGTGGTGCCTTGGTTGTGAGACACGTGTGTGACCTGGTGGCAGCATGTGGGATGTGCATGTGTAACTCATGTCAACTGTGTGCACGTGTGCGCTTGGGGGGAGGGAGGAGGGGAGCCTATTCCCGTGCAGGTGGGGCCGAGAGTGCTTAAACTACTCTGCCAAGCTGAAATCCCAGCCTAGACCTCCCACCACCTTGCTATCAGCGGTGCTGCTGGTGACCTGACCCGAGGGCCAAGGGAAGTGGGGGAGAGTTCCTGTCCAGCCCCGGTCATGACCGCTCCTCTCCTGCAGGTGCCATCTTTGAGGAGAACGCAGCCAAGGACGACAGGGTGTTTCAACTGGCCGTATCCGACCTGAGCCTCAACGATGACATCCTGCAGAGCGAGAAGATCACCTACTCCATCAAGGTCATCGAGGCCAACAACCCGTTCCAGGCCGTCCAGGAAGGTGAGTGGCCGCTGCGCCCAGGGCCTACTGGGCCACGGCCTGCGAGGCAGAGCAGCAGTGGGTACCGGGCGGGTTGCGACGGGCTCGGCCGCGCCGAGCCTCCTGTGCGCCGGGCGGCCTCAGTGCCACGCGCGGTGGCGCACCCTTCCGGGCCCACCCAGGCAGCGGCGCTGGGACTGCTCTGCGAGGCGAATCGGAGCGGAGAGCGGTGAGCGCGGCCAGCTGGGCGCCCTGCGGGTCGTGCGGCTCCTTTCCGGCTCGGTGGGCGCGAGTGTGCGCGCGGCGGCGCAGGCGTGTGTGGCTCACGGTGTCTTTGTTTCTCTGGTGTCTGTGGGTGGGCGTGTCTGCGCGCCGGGGACCCGTGTGGGGCGCACCTCCCCTGATCTCCGAGGGCCGGTGTCTTCCTCGCCTGGAGCCGAGCAGCGGCCGGAGCCCGCCCTGCCTGCCCTCGGAGCACAGCCCGGCAGGCGCCGGGTTTCGCAGCCTGCGGCCCCTCGGTGCCTCGGCCCGCGCTGCTCGGCCGCGCTCGTCGTCCGCTTTGGAGGAGCCGGTTTCTCTCACTGTCCGCACAGCGGGCGGAAGCGCCGCTGCCAGGGCCGGAGGTGGGCGCTGTTTGCCCAGGAAAGGAGCGGAGCTGGGCCGGTCCGGCTGCGGGGAAATCCTAGCCCGCGCCTGGGCCGCCGCCTCGGATCTGGCCCCGCAGCGGGGGCAACAGGTGCGCGGCGAGGGCGTTCCCAAGAGCAGCACCCCCTGCTTTCCCCTCCTCTGCCAGTCCCTCCCCTCCCACCTGGCTCGAGACTTTGGAAGCCGGTTCCTTCTTCACTCCTCCCGCTTCCTGGTCGGGGCCTAAGGCTCTGTCCGCCTCTGACACCTGCCCTGACACCTGCCGAGCTTCGGCCCCTTTTCCTTCCCTCTGCTTTACTCCCCACAACCACGGTTAGACCCAGAGGCCAGCGCCCCCGCGTGCTGAGGATACAGGGGCACAGCTGGTGGCACCGGATGCAGGGATTCCTTGCAGGAGCAACTGGCAGGGCAGTGGGTGTAGGGAGGAGGCGGCTGGCTAAGGGTTCTGGGGCAGTGCTCCCTCCCCCAGCCTGCTGAATCCTCCTGCTGTCTTGGCAAACACTGCCTGCCCATCTCCTGGATACCTGCAAGGATAGAGTGACTTTTCAATGGCTCTGGTCTGGGTTCAGAAGGTCAGAGCTGGTGCTGGGGAGGTCTTTGTGCTGGAGGGAGGCCTTTTGGATTCTCCTATCCTTGGGTGCAGCAGAAGAGGGAAAGGCGTCAGTTGTAGGGGAGGCGGCTGCCTAGTTCTGGCACCAGAAAGTCCAAGGATGTCTTGAGGTGGTTGTACAAACCTGGAGTCCTGAGTGTTTTTTGGGGTGATGGTGAGGGGGGTAAGGCTGGCATTGCTTATAACAGGAACTGCTGCATCCAGCCTTGGCAGATGTCCACTGTCTGATGCCAGTTGAAGTACAGAGAGGAGGAATTCTTGCTCTTCTTTGGTGTCTGGTCATGTCCCACCAGCAGTCTCTGTCTCCAGATGCCCTCTGCCCCTTTTCTGTGTACTCTTGTCACAGGTCCTGGCAGGTGTTTGGGGTGGGTTCCAGCAAGGGGATGGCAGGACCTCCTTAGCAAGAGTGACCCTAATGAGGGTGGGGATCTGGGGTGACATAGGCTTCTCCAGTGACGTGCCACAATTTTCACAGCGTATCCTGTTCCCCTGAGCCTGTCTCGATACACCCTGTGCCTGTGGACATTCACTCTTTGTGCTCGGGAGCTGGGGACACACTCTGGAAGCACATATTTCCTGTATCCAGGAGCTCACAGTGCGGTGAGGACTCTGCCTGTGTTCCACATCTGGTGACATGCCTCTGTTGGCATACCTTGCTTCCGTTGTCTCCCCTCTGCAGTGTTGAATATCCCATGCTCATTCATTTTGCCCTGAATCATGACCGGAAAGTTCCCATCAGCAGTTGCCAGGGACTGAAGATAATGCTCTTGCGGGGGTTACGACCTTAGGCAGGTAGCACATGTGGATGAACTGGGCAGCTGGTCTCTGTGGGAACTGAACTGCGGAGTCTGAAGGAGCAACTGTCACACAGTTTTTGCAGATTTTGCCATTGAGGAGTGAAAATCCTAGTGTTGTAGATGGGCTGGATTTTTTTTTTTAAGAGGAGCCCCAAATCTGGACTTTAATGTAAAATCTGATTTTGAACTATTGTCAACTAATGAAACAATTTAAACAACATGGTACAAGCCAAACAAAACCTAGCTCTGGGTCATTTAGCGTTCCAGCCCCAAATGCAACTTTGTCCTGGAGACAAAGGCTCTACCCAGGGGGCTTTCCTGATTTCGACTCTGCTTTTCTGGGTCTCAGTTTCTCTGTTGTATAACTGGAAAAATGTCTGGGGCTCCAAGGATGGCAGGCGGACAGAGTCGAAGGGTATGAGAGTGAGTGTTTCTACATGTCTGGAACTAGGGAGTTATATTCTGATGGCTGACAGTTAGTTGTCTAGGTCGAGGGACGCTGGCCAGGTGTTGCTGGACTGCGTGCTGCCCAGAGAGTGTGTGCTGGTTAAAGTGGCATGTGCTTTCACCATGTGAGTCATGTGGGCAGAAATCTACATTGCTGTCCTGTGACCTTGGGTAGCCCTTCGATGGCCTATAAGGGATGGGAGGAGCTAATCCCTGGAGGGCTTCTGGGAGGGGCAGAGCAGTGCTCAGCAGCCTCCTTCCCCCTTGCCTGGTGCTCACCTGAGCAGGTGCTCAGCTATCTGGGTGTCCTTTCTTGGCTGTGTTCTGTAGGGTGCTTTTCCATCACATGGCTTCCCTGCTTGATGGGTACCTTGTCTCTCACTCCTGGGCCTGGACATTCATTGCAGCAGGACGTGGGTAGTAGACGTAGTTTGGATGGGAAAGAAAAAGACTTCTAGTGGGGGAGTGGCCAGGGATGGACAAGAAAGGCAGCTGGCAGCTCAGTCTCCATCATCAACTGTACAAGCCCCCATTTGCCTCCCAGTGGGGTGATGCTACCCCTGTTTTGGTCTGAGAGGCAGCACCATGTAGAGATAAGAGCTTGGCGGACCCCGAAGAGTTCTAGTTCAGATCCTGCTGCTTCACTCACTGTGTGACCCTTGGGCCCTGCTCTGAGCTTCTGTTTCCAGATCTGTTAAAAGGGAATAATCATAGTATCTGCCTTATGGGATTATTGTGAGGATTAAATGAGATGAGACATGTATAAATTGTCTGCATGAGGCCTGCGGTAGGTGTTCAGTAAACACAAATTCTCTTTCCATTCCTTGACCCAACTGTGAATTCATTTCAGCTTCTCTTGAGGCTGTTGATATTTTCAGCTATGTCATTTTTTAAACTAGTGAATTCCTTGAGAGAGGACCCAAACTGACCTTTTCATTTTTAGCTTCTACTTTTTTCCCCGATTATAAAAGAAATGCATTGCTACAATGAGCATGTATTAATTTAAAAATGTTAAAAGGAAAAAGGGCAATGAATGCTCATTACATAAAATGGGGAAGGTACTAGAAAGCATCAGGAGGCAGAACAGAACCGTCCTGAATTCTGCTGCTGTTATTATTTCCTTCTAGTCTTTTTCCCCCCTACTGTATTTTCTAAATGTCGAGACCTCCCATTCTGTTCAGTTTTATATCCTTTTTCCATTTAGCATTTCATTGGCCTTTTCTGAAAGCACTATGAACTGTTTGTAAACATTATTTTTAGTGGCTGCATATATTTCCCAATATTCAAAACATTTTTTTAAAAAAAGGAATTGTTTTTGCTGAGATATGCAGAATTCAGTGTGACTACAGAGAACAACTCTACTTGAACATGTTGGTCCTAAGATTTATGCCTACAATTTCTTCAGGCTGATTTTGTACGAGATCCTTATGAACATTGCCTTTTAGGACAGTTGGTCAGTGTATGTAAAAGAATGGATCACTCTTAATAAAATATGCATTTGATGAGGATTTAAAATTAGCAAATAATAAAAAAAAAAAAAAAGAACTCCAAAACCCCAAAAAGGTGCAACCTAAAATTAACCGGCAAAAGCCACAATAAAAAAAAAGGGGAAAAATTGGCCTCCAAAAAACAAAAAAAAAAATAAAAAGGTAAAAAAAAAAATCCAAAACGGTTTAAAAGGCCTGCCCAACCAAAGAATAAAAAAAAGCAAAAAAATTAAAAAAAAAAAACGGCCGAAAAACAAGCCTCTTTCATATATTATCTTTTACTGTGAGTAGAAGACGTGAGTTACTGGATGTGCAGTAGATACATCTGTCATAGTGTGGAAGGATGATAGTTTAGGGAAGAGGCAGAAAAAAAGAATGTATGTGAGGCAGTATTCCTTTTAGTTATCATAAGCACAAAAGTGTTTTAGGAAGACAGGGCAAAAAATTACCCAAGTATAGCTTGTCGTTCACAGAATGAAACAATGAAATAAAATAAAAATGAAACACGGCGAGCTCGTCGATGCCAATCTGAAGGTCTTGGTCAGTTTATACTGGTTGCCTCCTGGGCGGTCACCCTGCCCCTCACTCACCACGCCGGAGTCCAGACATTCTGCTAGAGGGTCTCCCTCCCTGTGCTCCGATGTCTTTCGGAGGCTTCCTTGGCTTCCATTCAGAATTATAGGTCCCACTGAGGCCACACCCTTGCAGCCTTCTGGCAGCCTCCCGAGACACTGTCAAGGTCTCTCTGAGCCTGATGTTGGTGTCATCATAAAGATGTCTATAGACCCAGCACCATCATTCCCATCCACGCAGCTGCACTGGTTTTTATTTGGTGCTGAAACAAATTTTACCCTAGTTGATTAAAACAACACAAATTCATTATCTTATAGTTCTGTAGGTCAGAAGCCCGACATGGATCTCACTGGGCTAAAATCAAGGTGTTGGCAGGGCTAGTTCCTTCTGGAGGCTGTAGGAGAGGATAGTTTCCTTGCCTTTTCCAAGTTCCAGAGGCTGCTGGATTTCTCGGCTCCTGGC